CAAGACCTTTGTATGATCATTTCATAATGGCCAAGGAAACAGCTGTGTCCATATTGCAAAATTGAATACGAAAGTAATCCTTGTGATGATTATACTAGCACATGTTCATTCATACAATATTAGCACATGATTTGTCCAATTTAATTTGTTGTGAAGTACATAATTTGGACAAAACACTCCACAATATACATCAACAACTATCGATAGTCCAAATGGATTCTATCTCTCTCTGTCTCTCTCCCTTATTCATCTTCTTCTTCCAACATATATTTTTACTTTGTGGCCCTCAGACTGACCAAAGTGACCCTCCCTAAAGCTGATTATGATATTTCAGTTCTGGGGTAATGAGCCAAAATCAAAATATGCTTTAAATTGCATCAGAGATACATGTAAAAAAAATATGCTTATACAACCTGAACTGCTTTAGCAACCACTTGCATAGAAAGACCGTCTCTATATGGAGATCGCATGTGTTTTTTTCAGTGTACATTAGTAATAAATGCCTTACAGAAACCTGTACATAAAGACCATCTGGCAAAACTAAAGTAACTCTCGGGGACCGTGCTTTTGCTATTGCTGCCCCCAAACTATGGAATAGCTTGCCAAAAGAAATACGAAGCACTCCATCTCTCAATGTCTTCAAATCAAAATTAAAAACATATTTGTTCAATTGAGAGATCCTATTTTGTAGAATTTAGTAAAAAAGGAGCTCTGAACCAGCGAGGCTGAATATATTTTGTATAAAAGCTGCGCTATATAAATTTATTATTATTATTATTAAAGTCTACCCTTCTTGTAACAACTGACTCACCAGTATCTTAGGATGCAGATCACCCTTCTGTACAATGTTTGCTAGCTCATCAAAGAACAGTGCAGCTGCCTCAGGGGCTTGACCACAGCTGGACTTGACCAGGTCCAGGAGACCTAAGATCTGCTTGAAGACATCCTGGGACAGGGATGCCAGTGCCTGCTTGCCACTCCCAGAGTCCATCCTAATAAAACAGAGTATAAATAAGTCATTCCACTCTTTGGGTCAAAAAAGAATGTACGACATATATGCTCTACACTAAATTACCTACACTAACCGTATTCCAAACTTCAACCCTAAACTAAACATTATACCAAACCCTTATCCTAATCCTAACCCTAAACCTAACCTACAACCCTTACCCCAACCCTGCTTTCTGCATTATAAAACTTAATATATTTGATGAAGTAAAACTGGATAAAAAGTTTTAAATGGCTTTCACTTGAGATGAACATGAGATAAACTTGACGTACTTCCATGTAACTACTAGCTTTGGTTGACTAAAGGAGCAAACAGTGGACTTCTAGTCAATACGGCAATCTACCATTTCAATCCTTACCGGATAAAGACTAAGTGAGTTCAAGAGAGCAACATGATGATGTAATATTATAACATGTGTATGCTCATTGTTGTTAGAGACAATCGGGTTAAAATTGAAAGAGAATATAAGTTTGTATTGTTACCTTTTCCTTGCCATGTTCTGTATGACCATCAAGGCTGCAACCACACCCATTCGCTTGTACTTGGGACTATTGCTTGTGAGGTTCTTACGAACGACAATGTGAAGCTCATCCTAAAGCAGAGACAGAAAGACACTAGGCTCAAATACTCACTTCACTGCTATGATTGTGGTATATATTTGTAATCACGGTCCTTTTGGTAATGAATTGAACAAGTTCTTTCTCTCTTTATTTCATTGCTAGTATGTATACACATGTCAAGTCAAGCACAATATGATCCAATATCATTAATTTGAAATCAATATACACAAATAGATAGGATATTAATGCGGGATAGAGATATTGGTTGTTCGAAAGAGATCTTCTATAAAATGGATTTACGCAGGATCTCAATAAGGGCAAAAATATATTAATCCTAGGATAAAGTAAAACATAGGAGGTATAAAAAAGAATGCAACATATCTCATGAGACATATGATTACCCTTTCTTCCATCAGTGAGAGAGAGGGAGGGAATAGTGAACATGAGATGAATAGGATTTTACAGAGGGCTGTATCAGATACACAGGGGAGAGAAGAAACTGTGTTTTCTAAAAACATCATAATCAGTTGATCATTTCTGACAGAATTGAAGAAATAAATTCTGAAACCCTAGGTATTCATCAAACTCCCATTGTAACTGTTTTGTAAATTATATACATTTGTCTTGAAATTCAATACTGAACAAGGACTGAGATATAAGAGCATTTTAAAGTCAGAAGACAGATGGATTGAGTTGGCAAGAAGGAGCAGGAAGGCAACTTACCTGGAGCGTAGAGCCAGAGCTTCCACCCCTGTAGGCTAGGGTAGCGAGCACAGAGAAGAGCTTCTTGACCTGGGTCATGGTCAAGTTGTCCAGGTAATCAAGAACACCCTGTGGAGTGGAGCAGATCCATAAATATCACACATTATAGACACAACTTCATGGAGAAATCGAAGCAGTTGTGGAATCTTAATCAGTAATTAGACAGTAATGAATGTTTGAAAGTTAAGATCATTATCATAATGTTTATCCCATTCTGTCCAAATTGTTCTTCATCTGTTTCTCTGATTTGTCTACTTTCCTTCATAGCAACTTGCTGCAGATGTTGGATAGCCCTTTCAATATCCATTGTTTTAAACTCTCAGAATGTTATCTTATGTGTCAACAGCTGCTGGTCAATGTCAGAAGCTCAACAAAATCTGTCAGAAGCTCATTGCATGCCAAAAGACATTTTTAAAGGCATTTTCAAGAATGTGTTTCTTCTTGACCACATACAGTTCAATGACTATCTGGTAGGAGGAAACTCCTTGAATGAGGTCAAGACTTACTTTAATGAAGACAGCAAAGGGAGCAAGATCCTTGGTATGGGATGAGGCTAGAGAAGAGAGAATGTCCAGTGCTGAGTCCATCTCAGCCGACAAACCACTGCCAATGTGAGTCACCAATGCTCCTACGACCTCCTGAAATACAAAAGACAAAGTTCATTATAAAGAATCCTGTGCTATGCTGAGTCCATCTCGACCGATAAACCACTGCCGATGTGTGTCACTAATGCCCCAACTACCTCCTGAAATACATAAGACAAAGTTCATTATAAAGAATCCTGTGCTAGCCATATTTGTGTCAATCCATGAACTGCTGCTAGTTGACGAGTGTGATAAGAGCATTAGCAACTCAATAACAGGCAAGCCAAACTTACAGGTCATCTTTTTACATCAATCCTTAATAATCATGTCTGTTGATTGCATAGATGTATCTATCCTAGGATAGTATGACAGGCAAATGTAAACAATCAAAGAAAGATATCAATGCTTTGTATGTACAAGAGATAACACTCATTGAATTTTGAAAGTGGGTGAGATTAAAAGGACACAAAGAGGAGCTTTTTACAATAAGCCAACTTGGTTAGCACGATATTACACTGTCAAACATTCCCGTAAAGCTCAGCAGACAGTTCATTGCATTTACGGTAAAACATGAGACGGGAATACTTATGCAATGGTTAATGATCAAATCATTTCCTTTCCTTAAGATATGAGTTGTATTCTTCAGAAACTGCAGTACACTAACTTTTTAACATGAGGGATATATAACAAATATACATCGCCTCTATATGGCTAACTGCAGTACTATGTCCAGAGGGGTACCACCCTAAAGGAAATAGTACTACTTAATTGACCTCTTAGATCTTACTAGTCCCTCAATGATGTGTATATAAGGGAAAATATGGTGTGCTTGTTTTTACCTGTTTACTATAGACGTCAAATGCTGCAAAGGCTGTCTGATAGACCTTGGAACCAAACTGACTGACTTGAGGTTCAGGGGATCTCAGGAGCTTCTCTGCAATACACAGCAGGGATCCTAGGTAATCTCTGATAACCTGAAACACCATGCAAATATAGAAACACTAATCAATTATATTCATAATAATAATAATAATAATTAATCATGATAATAATGAGTACTACTAATAATTGCTGTTTGGTAGACTTAGGTGCAGAATTACTATAAACTTGAATTTCTGGTGATCTATGAAGCATGTCTGCAATGCAGAGCAGGGATCCTTAGTAATCCCTGATCATCAGAGGGGGCCAAAAGAAACATTATTTTCTGTGATTCAGTCAAAATGTGGTACTGTTTGAAACCTATGGTGCCTTTGTGAGGAGACAATCCTGTTGCCTGGACTTTTACAGGCATTACATAACAGTTACATTTGTTATCATTTTACTACATGATCAATCTTTCCAATAACTTCTGAAACTTTCTTGCATACTGAAAGTGTATAACCAGCAAACATGCAAGCTACCCGCCTGCTCTAACTAAAACTTCTGGATCTTGCCTAGCACATCAAAGTGTTCAAATGAACGCGGGCTTTTCAGCAGCAATTTTGTGAACCCTGGTCGGAACCGGGTGAGATATGGATTTGATGCATCCCATGGGTAGCTACACAAAGTAATTTTCACAGGTTGCAAGTACACAAAATATTCATGTTCACCAGTGCATTACATAATATGCACTGAACGCAGGTTAAGTCACAATCGGACAATGAACAAGCACCAGGGGTGTTACACACTGGAGACATTGTACAGACAGCCAATGAAACAATACTCAAAGTCAGTGGGTACCTTGGCGTGAGACGTGAAGGTCGCCTGCAGAAGTTCTTCCGTGAAGTGGCCTTTGCGAACCTTATGTCTGAAGACTGCCTCCACAGGTTTCTTGCGGTTGGCTACAGCATGTGAGATGAGAAGCACAAAGATATCCAGGACCTTGTGACCTGCTGCATCGGACACGCTCTCAATGGCCTGGGGTAGGGGGAAATAAATGATGATGAATCACTGTCCAACATCATTCTCATCATGATGGTGATTTGTAACCAATAACCTCATTATCACCTTACATGCCAACCTTCCACCGCCAAATTAGGTATCTCTCACAGCAAAATTATGAATTACAATCAATTTTGTATGCTTTGAAATAGAAGTAAAGAGAAATAACAAAAGTTGGCAGCAATGTTATCATTACTATTTCAATCATCATTAAAGTCATTGTTGAGAACACTTTAAAAAACTCTAGATAGTGTACAAAAAGACATTCAATTTAAATAATATCACACAGTGTATAATCCACCATCACTACATGTCAAGTGCAAAATCATCACCGCCATTCTCTACCCTGTACATCCAGAACAGGACCCTCAGTTACTGCCCTTCATAGGTTCTGCTGGTAACCAGCTCAGTGTTAAAGGATAGGAAGCAATGCCTATCTGGCTCCCAACAGTCAAATTAATCTTGTTTAAATCATCTACAAGTGCTTGCTCCTTGACTTCATGCCAATATGATGAAAAGACCATCATCTATATTCATTACCATGGCAACCGCTTCACTAACCTTCTGCCATCCATCTGCCAGTACTTTGTTGAATCTCATGGTTGACTTGATGGTTTCTAGTATCAGCATCTCACTGTCAGTGGTCTTCTTATGGGCCGAGACATTTCTGTGATTATAAAATGTACAGAAACATCAGGTTAATAAATTAAATACTGCTGAACTGGAGAGGAAGTCTGAAAATCTTTGATCGTTTATATTCATTTACATATGTAAGGGGCTAAATCCACTTCAAATCAAATGTCCAAGGTCCATTTGTGACAAAAAAAAATGACATAAAATCATCTGCATTATTAAAAAAAAGGGGGGTAAGATAGAACTTAAGAAAATGAAAGAGAACGATTGATTATATGCCAAATCAAACACATACTTTTAAAGGTTATTTTTAAACACTTCAACTGATCAAATCTCTTGAGAGGGAGCATTCCCCCAGTGAAGGCCGTGATGAGCAAAGATTTTCTTCCCCCACTTTAACTGAGCTTAGGGAGAACAAGATATCCAGAGTTTTGAGAGAGTAAAGATCTGGACAGAATGTAATGATTTATCAATATAAAATTGTACTATTTTTAAACCCATACATGCAATTTGATAATTAAGAATTATTGGTACGTGACATTTTTCACTAAATTGCCAAAATAACCTAAAATGATGTTAATAAAACCTGTCAAACTCACCCTGCGGTAGATGCTCTAGCATAGGGTGTGGAAGCAGAGGACGGTGGAAGAGAGGTGTGGAAATCTAAGTTTCTTCTCAGTTCACTGATTACCTACATAAGGAACAAAAATCAGGTAATTCAGTCAGAATTGTCTTTAAATTTGTCCAAGACAACAGGAAACAAAAATGAAAATGCCAATAGACGTTTGAATAAGGTAATAAAGAAGGTCATACTTTTGATCAAATAGAAATAGTACAGCTTTTAGTGTTGATCTGACATTTGCTCATTGCATGTTTTCACCAAAGATATACATGCAGAATGAGGGCTTGGGTTGTAAGTTAATAGGATATAAAAGTATGAATAATAATAATAATAGCTAGTTCTTATATAGCGCTTTTCAGGACCGATGGCCCTCTCAAAGCCCCCGTTGCAGATATATATATATTATTACTCCGGTCATAGCACCCAGGCTTGAAAGTAGGAATTTGGTAAGTGTTTGAAAATGGCTCAGTTATACTTACAGGAGTATGCCACACTCCGTTTTAAGAAAAGGGCCACAAATATATGACGAGGCAAAGTGCTGATAGTATGAACAGAGTAAAACATCAAGAAAAACATGACAAAGTCGCTGACATAAAAAATCAAGAATAATCCCTTGTCCTAAGAACAGAGCATCCTTTATTCATTTGTGATTATGTTCATGCCATGGTGATAACACTTTGAAAAAGATTTTTGACCAAAATGTTTGTTCACGTTTATTTATGAGCAGTGTGTTATTTGGACTCTTTTGGACGAATCATCAACATGTGACATACTTGAAAAAACAAAAAAATTGTATCTCCTTTCTTTCATCAAGAAAAGAAAATATCTTGACATGACCGGTTCTTTGTGATATCAGTAAGATTAGTCAATGACCACTTCATCATATCTTTTTTAAAGAAATAAATGGGTTAGATTGTGTTAAGCAGGATACTATACATAAAACCGCTCTTGCATCATTTATTTAGCTATTATTAATAGCTACATTGGACGCTATCACACTCACCTCCAGAGCGTCGCTAGAAGACACAGACTGAAGGATAAACTTGATGACAACAGGTAGGTCGTCTAGATCAGCAGATACAAGGCTCTCTAGAGCTGAGCCCCTTACCTACATACACAAAACAAATTCCTAAAAGTTCATAAATTGTTTGTTAATAATAATAACTATAATAATAATAATAATTTATTTATAGAGTGCCTTTTCATAAGATACAAAGCTCTTATAAAAGAAAATACTTACAAACAAATAAAGAAAAAGAACATAATCATTCAGAGCTTACATTAATTACAAACAAAGAGGAATATTAAGAGAAATTAGAAAAGATGAGTTTTCAGAAACTTCTTGAAAGCTGCAAGAGTATGACGATTCTTAATTCAGGGGGCAAGAAGTTCCAGGTTTTAGGGGCAACAACTGAAAAAGCCCTATCACCTATCTGTTGATATTAATAAATGGATCAGGTTCTTATCAATCCAATCACACATGGTTATCCATTGTATTATCAATGACTGCTAAATGACAAACAATGTTTATTAAAGGCAAGTATGTAAATACCTCTCTGAGTAGCTCTGGAGTTAGGTTCAGGTTATCTAGGGCATCAATGATTGGTACAGTCAGCTGGGAATTACATTCTAGCATATTCCTGTAACAAAGGTGATATCAATATTGTGTCATATAATGGAAAGAACAATTCAATTTAAATGTCAAATATACATCTTGATAAATAAATAAATATATATTCACAAGGAAAGTCTGAATGGCCTAATACATGATTTATATCTCTTTATTCCTATTATTTACCTGTGCAGGTTTCCCTGAATAAAATTGAGCTATAAAGTATGTTAAAGTAAAATATATGGGATTCTAAAATGAATGATATTCACATCACTATCTCTAGATGAGAGATTAAATCCACTATCAAACAGAACATACTGGTAACCACGAGGAACCTCAATCATAAATAATCATAAATAATGAAATAGATTAATCAATTGAACATATCAAATGTATGATTCATCTTTTGCGTGTGATATAATGTGCAAAAAAGATTATATATCAAGTTTTTGAGTATCATTTAACAGCTTTGAGCCAATACAATAACATCTTACAAATACAATAACCTTGATACAATTGAACATCACAATACCAGGCATATTTATACATATTATACACAATTCTATACAAATGTACTTACTTCAATCTGTTAGCTACCTCACTATGCTCCTGATCACTGACCACCTCAGGAATGCAGGCAATGATCTCTCTCTGGACGGATGGTGATGAGATCTCGACCATCTCAAGCATCTTGTCTGTCATCTCCTATTGATTATTGAATTTTGGAAAGGTCATCATTATCAATGACTTTCCTCTTCTAATTGGCAATATTACCTTATAAGGCTTCATGACTGATATTCTTTCCACAAAAATATCTTGTGCAAAAAATAGAAAATTAATGCATAAATATCACACACAATAGAATACTTGCCAAAAAAAATATTGCCATTATTAAATTTGTGGATGTATTTATAAATAATTTGCAAATTTGGATATTTCACTTTCATCTGATGTGTATTGCCATACAAAACAATTCAATAATTTTGCATTTGCACATAGGTTTCCAATTTGAAAAAGTCAATTTCTCCTACAAACTATTATTGACACTATATCATTTTCAGACACAAGCAGTCATTGATCTTTGTTATCCCAAATTATGCATGTGCTTAATTCTTAAGTATGCTGAATAAACAGTAAAGGTACTAATAAAGACCCTTGAGGTACCACATCTCTGATGGATTAACATACCTTACTATTGATGACATTGTCCATCCAATGAAACTGGTTGAGGATGAGTTTAGGTAGGTCCACTGCTTCACTGTAGTCAAACATGCTACTGCAATGCAGAATTATGGAAAACGGCAATGGGGTGTAAGCAACTAAGATGCTGATTACGTACATGGTAAATTATATGTCAGTACAAACTTATCAATATGCTAAGTAAAATTTGGTTCATTCATATATTTGTTATCTCATTTTAATTTTTTTCATAAATAATGGAAGAAGACAACTAAAACATCTTGTGAACAAAATAACAGATTAAAGAAAGATAAAGATAAATAAATGCTCTTCTTCCTCACATAACTATATCATTATCATCGTCATGACCACCATCATTTTCATCATCATTGTAAACTTACTCTTCTTCCCCATGAATTCAGGCAGCTTCTCAAGCAACGTGTTGACAAGAGCTGGCTGTAAGAACAATAAATTAGGACAAGAAAACACTTATGAAATGGAATATGCAAAGTAGAGACATGAGCATAAAATGGTACTTGTCCTCTTTGCAAGTGAAATTGACTTTTTGTCAATATTTTTCTTTTTCATTTACACAATATATTTATATAATTCTCTCTCCTTTCAAGCCAATTGCACTCTCTACTCTTCTTTGTTTTCTTCTACTTGTATTTTGATTTGTATATTCTCTTCACTCCCCCTCCTCCTTTCTGAAAATTGAAAATCCTATTTTGCACCACACTAAAAAAAACATGTTATTTCTTCTCCAAAGCATGAAGGAATTGCCAATGCTTTACAAAGTTCTCAATTCACAATAATTAGAATCGGTAGAAATTATTATTATTATTATTATTAAAGAAAAAAGTGATAACCGTACTGACCTGCAGTTCATCAATTCCAAGAATCAATCTGATGAGACTATCCTGATTTCCTCCTCTGGCACTGAACAATATAAAAATTAGACAGATAAAATCAGGTGACTATAATCATGTGACTTATCATGTGACTTGTTTGATAGTGTTTATCCTACCATTCATTAGCCTTCTCATCAAATTATGTAAAATGTGCAAAAACTTTTAACCAAAATGCACAATAATTTCTTCAACAATCCATTTCAATATGATGTCAGCAAACTTAGACTTATGACAGGCAAGTGCAGCACGGCCAAGGTTTATGGCATAAAAGAAATTTGCTACATTTTAAAAATCAGATGGTTTCTTATATAGTACTGTAAGTACATTAAAACCTGTATATAACGACCATTCAAGGGAGGCAAGAAAAATTGGCAGGTGGTCTACATGTTCAGGTTTCTTCTATGTTTCAATGAGAAACCATTTCAAGGGAAATGAACAATGTCGTCTTTATAGACTTATGGTCTTTCTATACAGGTGGTCGTGAAGGCAGGTTTGAATTTGTTACATTTAGCATATACTCAAAAAAACATGAGTCATACATTCCGTTTCCAAATGAATACAATTTACTACACCCAAATCAAATACAACATCATACAGGAAAAGCCAACTATCACTATTCGTTTTACAGTTTATCAATTTTTGTTTTTCAGTTAAAAAAGAAGGAAAAAAAAAGAATAATCTCATGAAATAATAGTGCATTGGTTTCATACTAGTCTGGTAAAATCATTGAAATCTATAATTCAATAATAGTTATTTCTCTTACCTCTCACATTCAGCAGAGGAAGTGGTCAGCAGCAGACTGTATTTGAATCTGAGGTGGAAAATGTCACAACAATCCAACTTTCAAAGACTGAATCAATATCTACTTGAATCAATGTATACTTGACTCTTGAAAAGTCAGTTACATAATTGTTGGCTAGCCTTGTAGTCGCACACTCAGAAGAGGCCAAATATTTTGGCCTACTTTTATTTAAATAAATATCATCATCACCTGCAAATGTTACTTGTACCTGCCCCTCCCCCCCCCCCCCCCATTCAACTATATCATTTCCTTGTAGCATCCCAATCACCAAAAGATATATAATTTGTGGATAGCTGGAATAAAGTAAACCTAAAAAAGTTACCCAGCATTTTATGGGCAGAGGAATCAGGAGTTTGAAGAAAATAAAGGATAACATAACACCCAGCACACAGAACCAAAGTCTTGCTTGTGTTCCATGCGGGCGAGAACTATTCCACGCGAATGCATACAGTTGTGTCAAGTAGTTTACTCACAATTCCCCACTGAGTCAATAGAGAGTGTATTTAAAATTGCATTATCTGCAATGCAGTACCCCTAATAAACAGAGCAAAATCCTTTTTTTTGTGATTGGTACACTTAAAATCCATCAATAACTTACCTGACTGGATCCTCTATGTGATTTTGAAGGCCTGATATAAATTCTTCAACAGTCTATTGAAGAAGAAAAAAAGAGGCAAAGGAATTTCACAATCTTAGCCTACCATCACAATCGAATAGATCTCTGTCTCTGTCTCTGGGTCATATCCACAAGTTCATCTTTTAGAAATGTATGGTCACGCGGTATCATGACTAACTCCTAAATTCATTCTGTCAATGATTTAATAATCATTTTGTGTGATATTGAGTAATATCCAAAAATCGAATCACAGCAGACAATTTTTCTATGAATAAGTATCATGTTGAAAACATTAATGCTACATTATATCATGATTTAACACTAAATGAGCAGTACACCTTCATTGTACTATTCGTATTTGAGTTGAGTTGAGTTGAGTTTGAAGTTTATTATCCAAAACAAAAAGTACATTAATATAACAATCAAATGTGAATGATTAATTAACATTGAAAGGATAAATGGGACCAGAAAATAGCATTTAATGCTAATCGTGTTTAGTACCACTAACACACAAAAAGTATCACAGCAATAAATGAGAATGTAATGAATAAATATGAATAACTATTGAATACATACTTAAGCTACAAACTATTCTACATCTAGGCTAAATATGTTCTGTGCTTATATACAAAGCTTTGGTATTTTACACTAAATAAAAGATGAAGAATTATATAACATAATATTTACAAAAAGGCAAGAGCCTTGGTTCTAAGTTATAAACAACTATTCTATTAACATTTGTGATATAAGAGTTCTACGAAAGCAAGACACTGATTTAACATCATGATATATATATAATCTCCATGTGCTCCTCATAAATAATATTTAATCAAGAGGGAAACAAGTATTTTAAAGGTCATTTACATTATCAGTCACATACTCCAAAATGCATAATAAAGTCCAAAACGGCAAACAAACTACACAATGCCCTTCCATTATGAAATTGATAACATACCTCTCCTAAATTCATTGCGGACTTGACTGCTTTTCTCAGCTTTTTCTGGAACATTACTTGATCTACATCTGCATTTTATGAACAAAAATATAGACATGAGACATATTATTAAAGGTAATACGAAGTTTTGGTATGGGGTCATGAATTCGGTTCAAATGAATAAATTGGAAGCATATGCGATCCTACAATATTTATTGATCGTTGTCGCAGTTGAAATCAAGTCTAAAGTTATGAAATTGTAAATAATAAATCTTTATGTTGTATAGCTCCCTCTCAAGGTCAAGATATTAATTAAGCTATACAACAATGTTTCTTGACTAAAATCAACTGATTAGCTATTCCCGTTTGGAAATTATATATCACAACTACATATTCTGACATTTAGATGGTCGTAGCTACCATTGTACGGCCGTAGGCCCTATTTGAAATTTATCAAAATTTACCGGGAGCACCGGTAAATTTTTATATTCAATTTTTCTCGAAAGCAGAAGTGTTTTAGGAGCTAAATTGTCTAGTGTTTATAATAATACATCTACAGGGGTATCCAAATATATCAAAATTGTAAAGAATCACTATCCACCCAATTTTCAAAATTTCCCAAAACTTTGTATTACCTTTAACTTTATTTTTAGACATATCACATGACTATTCATTTGATAAATATTCAGTTCAAGAGATACATGTGTGAATGCAATAATGCGTGCATGCAAATAACCTTGAATACATCAATAATACAGTAATACTATGAACTAATGGCTGCCTAAACTGTCAGTTAGTGATGAGCCCTGCAAACTAAGGAGTAAGGGCCCACACATAGAGTAGCCTGGGGTGTGTTTTACTTACTGAGCTGATTTGGATGGTCTCCAGCAATAAGACAAAAGCCAGCATCTGTCACCATCTTTCCAAATGTTGATTTATCAACAACATGAGCTGCAGTGGTAGACTTTGTCTTGTCAGAACTTGTTCTTGGCTTTTTAGCTGTAAAAATCAAAACAAAAACAAATTCAATAAAAATAAGGACAATGATATAAGATGTAAAGTGATTTCATTATTGTTATTATTATTTGTTATTATTATTTGTATTAAAGTTTAAGGCAGTTTAGAAGTTAAGAACCAATGGCCTTATTAAACTTAAGAGATGCACTTTTTTCACCTAGGGAAGAAAAAGCAAAAAAAAAGGATATAAAGTAATTCTGAAAATCGATAAGGATCAGTTTTGTTAAATAACTTTCAATCTTGACAACATGAACTTTGAACCCAGTTTGGAAGGACTTGAAGTTGTACTTTGATTCTTACCTTTCCCAGCACCTGCAGCTGATGCAGTGTCTTCATCGGGTAATGATTCCCTCTGTCGCTTTGGTTTCCCTCGGGGCTTACCCATATCTGAAAAATGTTTTGAGAAAGAACACCTCAAAATATTAAGTCAAACTCATAAATAAATGGCATTTATGTGCCAATGTAGAACTATAAGAAGCCATATCAGATTTTTTTTTTTTAAAGAAAACAAATCCATTGCAATTTGAACATTTTGTCTAGATCTTGATTCTAAAAAAGCATAACGGGCAATCAAACCAGTTTAAAACAACTGGAGTTGTTTAATTCCAAAGACTTAAATCAAATAAACATGTTGGTGAAGTTTAAGGGGGAAAATGGACAACTATAGACTAGACCTAAATAATTAAGAAAGTTTTAACAAAGAAAGGTGGGAAAGATACTAACATGGGTCAACAAAATTTATGTGAATCTCAAATTGGCAAACTGGTCAATCGATCACATCTTTTTTAGTGCAAACAGGCACATGCACAGAGAGTTTGCTTAATTAAGTCAAGTGAGCTCTGTGCCTGAAAATGTTCACATATTGGGTTAAATTCTTAACCGATTTGAAAGAGCTTTGATTGCATTTGTAATTGTACATGTGTGTGAAGAAAGAAGAGGCCAAGAGGAGGCGAGTTGGATCAGTCGGTAAAGCGTCTGCCTGTCAAACCAAAGATCCCGGGTTCAACTCCCACCCAGGCCGATGACAGAAGTCTGCGTTGTGTGTTAACGTGCCCCTTCCCTTGTTCATAGACGCAGGTTATGTCAAGTGGAAAACACTCCGTCCCTTGGATAGGATGTTAAATGGAGGCCCCGTGTACAGGAGAGTCACCACCCTTGCACGTTAAGAACCCATTGCACTAGTCGTATAAGAGTAGGGGGAAACCCCGGTGTAATGGTCCACCTGCACACCCCAATCAGGCCGAGTATACGGCATCTGCAAGAATCTTCAGTATTGAAGGAGGCAGATTATCTTGAAGAAGAAGAGAAGAGCTAAGGCACAAGTGAACTTCAAAGCCAGTGTGCAAGGGTCGTCTGTTGCGGAATGGGAAGGGGCGATTATGAATAAATGTTAGGTTTTATTTTAATCATTCTTCAAGTTTAACAAAAGAAGCCTGGTACCAATTAAGGCTAGGATCCCTACTCCTACATGATATCAAAATAATATTTCATAATCATATCAATAATCAATATCATCTACACGCTTCCAATGGCTAAGTGTTTTCAATAAGTTAGTTAAGGCTAATGAAGCTTGAAGGCTGAACTTTTCTGAAGTCTAGCAAGTTAAGTTAAACTGCCTTAAAAGTTCAACTAAAAAGTTGACAAAGCTAGCATTATTGAACGAGGAGACTAGAACATCAATCTAAATCAATCAAACATATTGACAAATCAAGAAACAGCTAATTCAAGCATTAATGGCCATCGTTTCATTTGCCCTTCATGTCATTGATCTCGGCTTTAATACGCTCGCGCTCCAGCCAGGGATCAACCCGTACCTGAGACCTAACCTTACGGAGCGCCTCGGCTTACCGTGAGCTAGAAGCGGCGTAAAGCTACTCGCTAAGCTGAGCTGCGCTGGCGCGCTTGATCTAATTCACGCTCATGCATTATCAAATCAAATCAAATGGGTCTATATAGAATACCTGGATATAAGTTGACTATGCAGCTTGACAAGAAATGCAGCTAAAATATCTTCACGAGGAGCTTCAATATCAATCTTGTTGAATTATTTGTAAAATGCGAATCACGTCGACGATCTCTAGTTTCGAGACCACTTGAAAAACCCGCGTCTGCTAGCGCGGGAGATTGATTGAAGAAAGAGTCGATATAATATTTGGTAGTAACTTGTGCCAATTTGCTGTATTTTGTTCTACTTTTTAGATTTTTTATGGGGCAGAAATTAATTAAACCACCAAATATGTGCTCATTAATTTTTGTATTACTTAAATTATATGATGCTATCGAAACATCATTCAAAATTTTAAACACTAATATTTACAATACGGAGATGAACGCAGAGCTAGACTGACACCTCAAAATGATCATTATACAAGCTTTGTATGCAGTAATTTGTCGCTTATTTTTTTTGTTTTCATTTGACCGTCTTGCATTGAAGCTTGCTAATACCATTACCAGTATAGTCTGTTACCAGTATTATATACGGTGCGCAGGGACATACATGTAGGCCTACTATTTTGCATGTATTGATATGATGTAGACTTATTTAATAGTATCATCTACTAATGTGCAAACAATATACATTGGACCCTTACTCAGACTTAGGATGGATGCAGAGAAGGAAGGCAAACGTCGATCATTTGAGTGCTCATCATGCCAGTTTTCAAGCCCCTACGATTATTTCGGAAAGAGGCCCGGATTTCTGAAATCCATTGTGTAAGTTACTCATGACATTCTCATTTCCTCTTACAGTTACAGTCCTTCACTACAGATTTTGCAATTTTTTGGTTTTAGTCGCCCGTGTCATGTTGTTTTCATATATCATCTATGTTACACTATAACTTTGATGTCTTACAAAAAAAATTGAAATCAATCATAATGTTTGATTTTGAATTTGAATTTAAATTTTTTCCAGACTAATTCTATTGACTTTGTTTCCTTTAAATTGCTTGAACTTGAAGAACCATATAATGTATCAATTAAAGAACCATTAACTCAAGGAAAAAAGATAATCCTTTTTTAACATTCATTTATTATATTGTTATAACTGCAATAGGTTGCTTAAAAAAGCATGTAATGAAAACCCAATTATCAAAAAAACTTGAGTTTCCTGTACATTTCTTTTATCGTTTATAGAGTCTATATACATTTTTAATAATGATAATGATACATATAGAGTATTTATAATGCACCAACTCCACATGGCTAATGTGTTTGAGGCGCAATGGAGAAGAAAAAGTACAAGTACACGAAATGTATATTTCTTAAATTTCCTGCTGTTTTTTTCTAATATGTTACTCAATGAGGCAATGTTGTAATATGAAAGACCTATTAACGCCTAAAAACATATATTTCTCATATTGTTTCCAAAAGGTTGCTTGAAGAGGCGTATGTAATGAAAGATCCATTTACACCAGAAAACAGGCATCTGACTCTCGGTGGGCACTGTTCTGAATGTAACAAACCTGTTTGTGTTGGTAAAGTAAGTGAAACAGTTGCAGTGTAGGGAAATGAGTAATGCTTTGACTTAATTGTTGCATGGTGATTCTGTATACATGTAGATATCTTGGTATTTTATTAATTTTTTCTTCTTCAATTTGATACTTATATTGCATGGGAGCATACATAAATGACATACAACATTGAAATAATACAAAACAATATTAATGAATCTAGGTTATTTAAGAAAATGGAGAATAAGAACAATACATTTCTACATGTGATTAAAAAAAAGATGCTAATACATGTTGTTAATAATCCTCTTTTTTCCTTCTATTTTCTTTATGTGATACTGATAGGTCTATATTAAGTAACTAAATATTAGATAATTCTATATAGATTAAAAATTTAAAACTTACAACTTATTTGATGTTACATTTTATGTCAGTTTTAGTTATTGTTATTATTATTATTATTATTGTTATACCCCCCCCCCCCTTTCATTGGATTTACTAGGATTGCAGTATATTCTACACCAGGCGATTCTGCATTGACTGTGTCATGGAAAACTTGGAGGAATTTCCCAAAGAAGTACAGCAGGTATGACAGAAACTTCATATTTTGTTAAAGGTAAAGACCAGTATTGGCAACGCCTCAATTTCAAAAAATGAAATGGAAGCTCTCATTACCAATCATGTGAAAGAATATGTTTTGACTAATACATGATGATAAAAAATTTGCCGGGAAACCGCCTACTAATTCATATATTTGGTAAATTTATTTCTCTCATGGTCTGGTGAGAGAGATAGGGTAGTCCCATATACATCTTTCTGTGTATAGTGCTTGTAACTTTACGAAGAATGGGCCAAATTTCTTATCATTTTGATGATTCCAGAACCTTGCAGATGCTAGATGCTAGATGATCAACCTTTTCTGATCGATTCCACAACGTTTCTTTCACAATGCAATCGCATGACCATTACTGGTCTTTACCTTTAAACGGTGTAAGAATACCTTTCCTCATACAGGATTTCTTTGTGGATTCAGAGTTGTAAAAGTTTGATTTTCCCACAGCAATTTGTATGTACTTTATCATTTTTATGAGAGCCCTATGTAACTTTACAGAGCTAATAACTTGTGTTTCTTCACCACTCTTGAAATTTATGTTTCTAATTGCAATGTAGCTCTATTCTTTCCTTTAATTACCCCTCCCCCCCCCCCCCCAACCATTATAACTGAAAAGGAAGATTGCATGTCTACTTGCACTCATAGGCATATAGCTAATTCTTCTTTATTTACTGTGATAGTAAATGGTACATTTATTTTTTTTAGTTGTGAGTATGTCTAAAACATAATTTACAATATAAGCTGTGCAGATTTGCATATATCAACATTTTGTTTTTATTGTATTATCATTTATTTCTATGTCTTTTTATTCATTCCTGTCTGTCAATTGTTAATATAAAAAATACATGTACATTATTACTATTGTTTTCTCTTGTTTTCTCTCTCTCTCTCTCTCTCTCTCTCTCCTTCTTTCTGTCTCTTTCTCTGTCTCTATTCATTCAATAGGAATTAAACAAGAAAGACAAAGGCTGACGTGATTTATCCTGATCTAGGAGATACAACCTGAAGTGCATACAGTGCAAACGATGGTACCATGTTACACATGTGGCATTCATGAATATCCTTCATACATGCATGGTATGAGGACAGGGAGGCCTGATCCAGGAGAATAGGAAATAAGATATGAAGAGTGCTGGTATCAGCAAACCACAAAGAAAGCCGGTATCATAGAAATAGATGGATCATCTACATTTAAGAGCATTTAGGAGCACCATGGTTTTAGTAGTGATCACTGAACTTTCAAAAGGCTGAGGGTTCAAATCACAACCTGGTGTATGTGCATTTAGAAGAGGCATTTTATGTATAGTTGTGTATCTTCACCCAGGTGTCTAACTGATATCTGGCAGGGTTTGCATTTCCACATTGAATTGAATTGAATTGAATTATGATAAACATTGCATAACGACATACTTAATGATTGAAATCAATTATCATCACAGGTATATATATATATATATATCTTGCAAGCAGAAAAGATATTTTTTTGGTTAAAAAGTAGGTCATTAAAAGGAAAATTAATGAATAAGGATAGAACAGATTGAAGGGACTACTTTTGTAGTCTAGGAAGTCTTGAAAGTACAGTTATTATTTGTTTTCTATGTTTATGTGTACTTATTCTGTTCAGGCGCGGATCCAGGATTTCTTAGGGGAGGGGGCCCAACTTTTTTTTTCTTTGCTCCCGAAAATTTGAAAATCGTGCCGACCGAAAAGTCGCTCAGTGGGGGGGGGGGGGGGGGAGGGGGGGGGAGGGGGGGGGGGGTAGTGAGCACTTTTTTTTTTTTTTTGATCCTCAAAAAAATTTCAATTTGCACCCCCCCCCCCCCTTGAGCGCCAGGGGGGGGGCCCAACCCCCAAAAAAGGTAAAAATCACGTGATTTTACATGATTTTTTTCTCAAGGGGGGGGGGGCCCGGGCCCCCCGGGCCCCCCCCCCCCTGGATCCGCCACTGATTCTGTTATACAGTATAAATAAATAGTTATTTCTACTGAAATATATCTCCCATTTTTCAATTATTAACCAGAGAAACATGTCATCATTATCCATCAAAACTCTGCATGGTGACAGGTATTTTGATGAGTAAGAGGGAAGAGAATGAAAGCACTCGTGAAGAGGATACAATTATGTAAATAGCAATTAGTGGTGTGGCGCCACAAAGTGAAGAGTGACAGAGAATGGGATAAGAGAGGCTTTAAAAGAGCTGGCGAGAGACTGAAAACTTAGAGATGTTGAATAGTGAGGCAGAAAGATGAAAAATGGGTTGTTGACGCAAAACTGTAGGTTGTGAGATGTTGAATTTTTGGCTTTCAATCAAATTTGACTATTTACACCTTGTTTAGTTCTTAGGGTTTATCAGTCGAGTCAAAAGTTTCTAGCTTGGAAACTCTGTGAGAGATAGAACGAGATATAAACACATTTTTAGACAAAACAAACACGTAAATGGGTATGTAGTTTAGGAGATGAGGGAAAAAGCGTATCAGAACAATTACCCCCTGGACAATCGCCCTCCAGAAAATTTCCCCCAAAAGACTATCCCCCCTCCCCCCCGGAAAACTACCCCCAAGGACAATCACCCCCTGAAAATTATGCCCCTGAAAACTACCCCCAAGGGCAACCACCCCCCCCCCCACCCCCGAGGACAACTACCCCCACCTCTGAAAATTTGCCCTAGGTCAATTACCCCGCCCCCAGAAGAATTACCCCCTGTTCAATAACTCATCTACCCTTATATTACCTTGATTTTTAATTTGTTTTCCCGGGGGTAATGGTCCCGTTGATAATTGGCCGGGGTCGATTGTCCAGGAGTAATTGTCCTAAAATCGGGAAAGCGAGCTCGAGGAGACAGTAAAGATGAAAGAGAGGGGCGGGGGGGGGGGGGAGGGGAGAGACTCGGAGATAATTATTGTTGACTAATGAGGGAGGAAGAGGGATATATGAAAAGAGATGTTGAAGTAAGTGGGAGATCGGTTGGGGGGGGGGGGATTTCCAACTAAGCGTCAAGATAAGGAAAAACATCTCGATACGCGTGTTGGTAGTTTTGTTTAATTAATGAGTAAATTATTCACTCGAAACATTCTAATTGATTTTGTTATCATTGTATCCTGCATCCAGGCTCTCCCCACCCACGTTAGTTTGATCTCGTCGGAGGAACTTGGGTGGATGAAGTACCGCCAAAATTTCTTAAGGGCTTAAGTATTGTAGATTGAAGGAAAAAAATGACTATCCAATAGAAGTACGTCTTTCAATCGCGGTCTCTAAATAAATTCAAGACTCGCTTTCAAAACGGCTGCTAGTTCATCAAGTACTTAGTAGCTGCATCTATTTTGAAATGATCCATCTGGTATCAGTATCTACCATTTTAACGATTACAAAATGAAATTTGCTAGAAGTATATTTGCCTTGCTCCTTTTTAGCCTGAAGTATTCGAGTGGCAAAGATCCAAGTGAATTCAAAGGGAATTCTAGTGATGTGTTCTCTTCAATATCCAAGACTTTGGGAGAAAACGTAAGCGCTGCTGGCGAAGCGATGAGTTTCACCGCATATGACTTCGTGATCGCAACATTGTGGGAAACAGTAACATTGTTGGCAAGTAGCAACATCCCAACATCAGTGACAACTGACACAACTGCATCTCACATAGATCTGTGTAAGGCAACATCTACCGCAGATGCAAAAACCAAATCTACAATATCAACTACCTTCGTTGAGGATGACACAACGGTCGCAACAGAGGCAACCGCGTCGCTCTCAGATCGGTGTGTAGCAACATCTACCACATCGTCTAATGCTACGACATTGCCATATTGCAGCCACACTGCCACACACACTGCAACATACAACAATATACATCCAAAAGCAGGTCTTCACAAGGAGGATGCCGGGTGGTTCTCCGTGGCGTTCAGGAAGGCGACGACGGCCAGTCCTGCGATGTCGACCGTCCGCACTTCGGCGGCGCCCAGGGCGAGCCCTCGAAACAGAACTCTTTGGGATCAGTTAGAAGACATGAAAAGGGTAAGATTTGCTCACTGTGATATAAAGATACGGAAGCTTATTAGTGCCAACCAGATGAGATGAGAGGACAAAGCAAAATGACGAGATGACGAGTTATTGGAACTCAGAAAGTCGACTTGTTTGGGATAAGAAGATAAAATGACGAGTTGTTGAAACTCGGCAACTCGACTTCTTTGGGATAAGAAGACAAGATGATGAGTTGTTGAAACTCGGCAAGTCGACTTGTTTGGGGCAAGAAGACAAGATGACTTCTCGTCATTAAACTTGTCTTCTTGTCTTCTTATCTCGTCATCTCGTCATCTGGTTGGCACTTATAAGCTTCCGTATAAAGAAGACGACGGAGGCTGCAGCCTCCATAATTTTGATAGGATTTTTTTTTCCCGGATCATACTAAATGTCACTGATCCATCACACGTGCCTCCTATTTTGGCTCCCTGCTTTATTTCGTCAAAGATGAAGTCGAATATTGCTAAATTTTTAAACCCAATGATGGGTTCAAGCTTTTGTTCAAGATCGGGCTGAACAATGAATGTCTATAAGTTCTTCTTTAAAGAGTGACGTGATTTTATTAGGGTTGGGGTTTTTAGAATTCAGACCAAAAGGGTTGGAGATAAAGTTGGGATTAGGTTTCATGTAAGGTTTAGGTTAAGTGTTAGATTATATTGTCTTATAGTAGAGTTAGAAATGTAGTAAGTGTTGACCGCGGACCAAACACAAACCTTAAACCCCAAGAACCAACCTCAGGAACCAGTACAATTGCCTTAAATCGATATTCTGCTGTCATGGTACCTCCCCTTGATATAGATTAAATATCCAAAAGGTTTTAGATTGGGCATTGATTTTTTCCCCAAAGTAATTAAATTTGTCCCTACCTAAGTGTTTGATGTGTTCTAGGTTTTGGTTGAATGGTAAAAATCAATCATTAATACCAGCTCTGAGCTGCCGTACTACGTGCATGTTCTGTAATATTAACATGACTTATTCACGGAATAATTGTGACTTAATCAATATTTTCCTATTTACATTACTGTTGAACTAGGTTAATAATATATTATGTTTATTTTGCAAACGAGTATTATTTTTTAACTGTTCGGTATGAACGTTATGATGTAAATATGTTCATGTTTATTCAGGGCCCCATGGAAGACCACTACTTATTGGTGAATGGGCTACCCTGTCAAAAGATTAGAAATAAATAAATAAATACATCATTTTGGATTTTGTGACGGGAAAAGAAAGATCATCGTTTTATCACAAAGTATACATTATATTTCGATATTTCGATATAATAACTAATATAGAGAGATTCGCCAACATATTGCTTTAAACAATTTGGATTAGCTATTTATACAAAAAAATTATATTGGGATGTTGGATTAAATATGGATTTCGTTGTAATCGGTAGCGAGCGCTTACTTGCTTAGGAATCAAATTTGTCAACAGAGAACATTGCCATAACAAAACGGGGATGGAGACAATTTATACAGCAGCAAAATCCTTGTCATTCCATCGCTATGTGAAGGAAGTCCTTCACTACGTAGTTGCGGCATTGTTTGTTGTTGTTAATTTTAAATGTTTAGTATAGTTATATCATATAGTTATATATTTTTTTGGTGACCATTGATGTGTGGCTCTCGGACTCCTAAAGTTCATTTGCCAAGCAGACGTGTTTTCAATAGTATCATGAATTCATGATCGCAAAGACTTTAACAAAAAAATCAATGTCATTAGCGCTATTAGGATTTGATTGTGCTATAGGTGATTCACGATATTTCGAAAAAATTAAGATCAATGCGCGAATCAATTATTTCTAGACATTTCATTTTCTCGAAAGATGATTTCACACTCTCTAAAAATACTGAATGCGATCTATAAAATAAATGTCCTTCGGATTTGAAATGATGAAATATGATAATGAGCATGATAATTGACGAAGAATGTATACCATAGACCTGAGGTAGAAAAAATATTATCATTGAATTGAAAACTAAAATGTAGACTTGTGTGTCGGTTCTCAATTGTTGCCGATGGCAGTTTATTCTGTAAAAACTCCTGGTATCCAGGTTTCTAGGGACCATCCATCTCAGCCACTCTGGAGATCTTTACACTGGCTTCTTTTAAAACAAAGAATACTTTTTTAATTACTCTTGTTTGTATTCAAAATACTCAATAATCAAGATCCACAATATTTAGATACCACTGTTTGAATATATATACACCTGCCAGGGCATTGAGGTCAGCCAGTGATCCTCTCCGTCTCACATATTCAGTTACCCGCACATTAGCCGGTAATATGACATTTACTGCTTCAAAATACTGAAATGATCTACCACTTAGGATTAGGCAGTCTCCATCAGTTATTACCTTCAGAAAGGCCTTAAAAACACATCTTTTTTTGGAAGTTTGTTGTTGTTTTTCTTATTATATGTATATTTATGTAATTTTGATTTTCATTCACTATAAGCGCTTTGGGCCTTATGGAAAAAGTGCGGTATAAGTAATAATAATATCAGTTACTAACTACAACTTAAGTAATTCAGAAAATATGCGGTCTTTAACGCCGGGACGCAAACACTTGAAAACTTTCAAGAGGGTTCCATTAAGAATCTCGAGAATGGAGGGTTGGTACTTTAACGGGAGATTTGTCTGATTAATTATTAAAGAGTCTCTACTTGGAAGTCTGGTTTTCTGAAAGCTTCAACATTTTCCCACTCTTTCCCGCTCTACCATCACTCCCGCCCCCTCCTCCTCTCTCTCTCTCTCTCTGCCTCCGTCCTCTCATCTCATCTCATCTATCACTCTTATTATATCTCTCTCTCTGCCACGTGTCATATGCCGCCATATCAAAATCATATCATACCATATCATGTATCTCATATATCGTATCATAACTATTATCATAACATATCATTCCATGTCATGTTTTCATATCATAAATTATCGTCTTGTTCTATAATGATATCATGTCATTTCATATCATATTACACTGTATAATAATAATAATTATAATAATAATAACAACATTTATAATGCGCACATAAAATTATCCACCCCAAGAGATGCTCAAGGCGCCTAACAAGGTAAGTACATTGAACGAAAATAATTTAACATAATTAAATATAATTCAACAACGTTAATTACATCAGATTGTAAAATACACTACGTCTTAACTAATCATATCAATTATTCAAGGATTAAAAAGTCAATGCTAAGAAGCAGGCGCGGATCCAGGATTTCTTAGGGGGGGGGGCAAATTTGAAATTTTGCGAGCCAAATATTGGTACGTAATGGTGACACCGGCAGTGGCAAAAACGTTTTTTTTGGGGGGTAGACAAAAAAAAATCCCCATCACCCCACTCTTACATGCAGGCCCCGCTGAACGTTTCTCGGCGGGGGTCAAGGGGTGGAGCCCCCAGAAGCTTAGGGGGTATAGGCATTTAATTACTGTCAGACGATCATATTTGGATACCTTATTTGTGACACTGGCAGGTCACGAATTGGCGTGAGGTCCAGGGGGCGGAGCCCCCGGAACCTCAGGAATTTTGGGCAATAAATTACAGTCAGATGAGCATATTTATGATACCTTATTTGTGACACTGGCAGGTCACGAATTGACGTGGGGTCCAGGGGCGGAGCCTCCCAAAGCTCAGGGGTTTTGGGCAATAAATTACGGTCAGATGACCTCATTTGTGACACTGGCAGGTCACGAATTGGCGTGGGGTCCAGGGGGGAACCCTCGGAGGCTCAAGGGTGTTAGGCAATAGATAACTGTCAGATGAGCATCCAGGGGCCCGCATTAGGGCCATTGGTTGGGTTCAGGGGGCAGAGCCCCGGAAGCTCAGGGCTTTAGGCATTTAATTACGTCATTTTAGAATAATGATACCTTATTTGTGACACTGGCAGGTCACGAATTGGCGTGGGGTCCAGGGGGTGGAACCCTCGGAGGCTCAAGGGTGTTAGGCAATAGATTACTATCAGATGAGCATCCAGGGGCCCGCATTAGGGCCATTGGTTGGGTTCAGGGGGCAGAGCCCCGGAAGCTCAGGGCTTTAGGCATTTAATTACGTCATTTGAGCATAATGATACCTTATTTGTGACACTGGCAGGACACTAATTGGCGTGAGGTCCAGGGGGCCGAGACTCCAGAAGCTCAGGGGTTTTAAGCATTAAATTATCGTCAGATAAGAATCCAGCCGTCTCCCTTACGGCCCTAGGTAGGGTCCAGGGGGCAGAGCCACCAGAAGTCAAGGGGTTTTAGGCATTTAAATACGGTCAGATGAGCATACTTTGATAACTTATTTATGGCACTGGTAGGTCACTAATTTGTGTGGGGTCCAGGGGGCGGAGTCCCCAGGAGCTCCGGGGTTTTAAGATATTCAGTCACGGTCAGATGAGCAATTTCTTTTTTTTTTGGCCCCGGAAATTGGAAAATTACGTCGTCAGATATTTTTTTTTTTTTTGGGGGTCTTTTTGTTGCTTACTTTAGCACCACAAAAAAAAATGTTTCCCCTTTTTTTCTTTCTTTTTTCCCCATTGCTATGAAGAACCTATTTTCAATCTAGAATGGAAATATAACTATAAATATGTGACATATTCCATCAAACAGCATATTCCAAGAATAAGAAGAAATTATAAATATTTTTCTTTACAAATCGAAATAACTCCCAGGAAACCATACGGCGGACTGATGAATATCAATAAGTGAGAATAAATCAGGAGAGAAGATGTATTTGTCTTTATGACTTTGTCATGGACCGTGATGGCCTGGTGGTAGAGTCGCTGCGAGGCAAGCTGAGCAGTAGCTCAAATCCCGCTCGTTCCAGATTTATTGTGCCTCGTTTTTTTAAGATTGAGCACGCGATCATTATTTTTCTGGGTGCAAGACGAAATTTCTTTACAAATTGAAATTACTCGCAGGAAGCCTAACATTCGGGAAAAAATGAAATCAATTCAGTCTAGCTTGAAATGTTGATTTTCGGCAAAGTCATCATAATTGTTGTAGTCTGGTAATTTAATGGATGTTATGTGTATTTCAAAGCAACAAAATATGGCAAAAAATCCTTGGCTTGTATATTGCATTAGTATTTCATGAGGTTTTATTTCCATTTTTCAGATACCAATCACAGATGATAACGTAGAGGAGGTGTCTGAAGAACTTGCTGATCTTACAGAAGACTCAGAAGACATGACAGCTGAGGAAGTCGACTCCACTGCTGATATCCTTCAAAATATAACGGCTGTCAACTCCTCAGAACCAGCGGTGAGTTATTATCATCATAGTTTACTCAGATTCAGAAGGGCGTTAATTCATATCATTTAACAGTAACACAGAGTTGATGTCCTTGTGGGTCTTAATTGATAGTCATGACGTCAGCAACATCCGGATAGCCCTTTGCCATCTTCATGGTATCATGACGCCATGTTCATATTTTTATCGTCGTCATCCCGGGGTCATCATATTCTGTGGCGTAGATACAGGGGATGCAGGAGGGCTCGTGCCCCCTCCGCCAAACGGTGGGACGGGGAAGAGGATCGTTCAACCCTCACTTAATATACCCAGTCAGCGAGGTGTCCGAATACGTGATTTCAGTAACTCATATAATATACGTGATGATGAAATAACAGTTTAATTTAATTAATCCCCGTAATAAAGTCGAAATTCGGCAAGAGGCCTCAGCCTCCCTCGAGAAAATGTACCCATACTCACATGATTACAATCATGTTCTCTCCTCATATTCTTTCATATTGTTTTGATACTAATGATGAGGACGATAATAACAATAACAATAAAAATACTAAAATTATAATAATATTCTGGGTTTATATAGCGCTTAAAACCTCGACGATGCTTGCCTCTAAGCGCCCTACATGCCTGTTACCCCGCTTATCGGATTCAGGCTTTCCCGCACTCAAAGTATAATACATCTTCATTATCCACTCCCTTTGGAGTATTCCAGCCAGGCGTCAGTTTACAGATGCGCAAAATACATTGACTTTCTCTTCCTACCGGTTACCCATTTAACACCTGGGGGGTGAGAATTAATGTTGATAAAATGCATTTCTTGAGGACATAAGTGCCGCCTGCCGGGATCAAACCCACGACCTTTGCATTTCAAGCGAAGTGGTTGTACCACTCGACTAGGACACTTCTACATAATTTGTTTTTGCTTTTGTCTAGGTGACTCGATCTGTTGTCGAGACGGTGAACAACCTGATGAACGTGAACGAAGACGAACTTGAAGAAGCTGCTGCCAAAGGGTCGACGAATCGAGCTATACGATGCTTAGAGACACAGCTCCAGATTGTCGATGTCACAACGTCCAATGGAACATACAAAGATGTCCAACCCAATCTAGGAGTACATGTAGGGCATTTCGGATAGTTTATGATTTTAATGTATGCCTTTACATATTACAATTTATTTCTGATTTAGATTATTTTTGTTAAGTATCGCCACATATTTCTTAGTATTTCGCCAACATTGTACAAATAAGTGACCGTTTGGATTGTTATTGAAGTGTTATCATTGCACAACTGCAGAATTTAGCTCAAAGCACTTTATGATATAGATTTCATTTGAACGAAAAGTTTGAATTGTGTTTATTCGAATCGTTTCGGCCGACAAAACACTTTTGTTACTAGTAAATATTAGGGATTATTTTGTTTGTCTGATTGTTTTATTTTTGTTAGGGTTGAATTTATTGACCTCCAGCGTGTTTCACTTTGTTATCCACGAATAGCTGAGAAGAGTTCTTAATTACCTTATTATATCGAATGCCAGCCCATCTCCTCTTAACCAACAACAAAATAAATAGAGAGAGAGAGAGAGAAGACTGAAAGGGGGAACGTTTGAAGATTAGCGACCTCAATATCATTCATGCATCCATACCCTTCCCTCTCGCTCGGTCGCTCCGATTCCTCGAGTTTCATTCATATATTATCTAGGTCAATGTACCCCCTATTAATGTGTACATTAATATCTGCCTGTCTTGTGCAGGTAAGTGAATATTCATTTCATCATTTCCAAACTGGTTTGACGTTCATCTACGCCATCGATGATCCCCGACGCCCCCTCAGCCCTGAACACATTTTCGTCTACATCGGGAACAGCGGAAACATCGATCCCGGAGACATGCCGATTCAAGCCCGAATCTCCCTGCCGACATCGCTCGGGAGACGAATCAGAAGAAATAGCAGTCGGGTCTCTTTCGTGATTTATCGGACTACTGCTCTTTTCCTGTCGCCTTCGTTGATCGAGTTCAACGCGAACCAAACTGATTTCAGCCGAGTAGCGAACACACGTGTTATCTCGGCGTCTATCGATTCGATGCCCATCTCAAATCTATCAGAACCAGTTGTGACGTCATACCATCCCATCTTCACCGAAGCTAACGAGGTTTGTATGACTTTAAATCCACCGGGGTTTATAACATCCCAAGTCCGCCTAAAACCTAAATGTGGATGTCGACAATTCTTTAATTAATAGACTTTTGAAAAACCGTTTGCTTCATCATGTATTTGATAATCATTTTAATGCCTTGTGAATTTCTGTCACAACCTCAAGTTGAAAAGTTGGATATCGCTTAGATTACATATATTATAGATTATATAAAATAGATTAAACCGTATATGGGACATTGATCTAATGTTACCATTAACATTATTTTCGAAATGTGATTTTTCACGTGTGTTGTTTCAGTAATATAAAGAAAAAAAACTCGACACGATAATGTTTGTGTGAAGACCATTTGATTCGTAAAGATAATGAATAGGCAGACCAAATAAAACAATTATTTTAAACAGAATCGTATTCGGTGTTTTTCGATGAAAGAGTACTAAACTGCAAGTAACATATGCATTGAGATTTTAACTGCCAGGATGTGTATTGAGTAAGATAAATGCCATTTATGAATATTTCGATTGACTTTTTGCCTTAGAACATCGACAACGTGACCAACCCGGTATGTGTCTTCTGGGATTTCGATGCCGATGAGGGTGATGGGAATTGGTCTCGGGATGGATGTCGTCTAACCACATCCGGGTTCATCCATGAGTACAGGTGTCAATGTGACCATCTAACCAACTTTGCTATTCTCATGGTAATGTAAAAAGTGGATCCGGGTCGAACCTGCTAACCCCCCCCCCCCCCCGGATAAAGACAACGGCTTCTCCCATTCGGGTCTTAGAATCGCGCGCGGCATTTCCGCTAGAAATTTATTTTCAGGAAACATTCTTCTATACCCCGTCCCTACTTGAGAGGGCCTAAACCATTATCATTGAGAGAAAAAAAAAACAATGTCGGGAATCTATTGTTCCCATTTCTGACAAGCCTGGACCCCCCCTCCCCTTTCCCCTTTCCCAGTTGAATAATGATAATATCGATAGCAAGTTCCATTGAATAAAATTAGAAAATGAAAAGGGGTCAATTCGGCAAGGGCTGGCAAGAAATCTGGGGGGCGTTTCATGAAACAATTAGTCGGTGGTTTTCACCGACTAATATCATGTTCACCGACAATTTAGTCAGCGCTGATTAAATTTGACCAATCCCGGGACTGGATAATAGTTAATGACAAAAGAATTTTCGATGAACATGATATTAGTCGGTGAAAACCACCGAATAATTGTTTCATGAAACGCCCCCAGATTGTTATAGTGATGCAGCTAATATATAGTAGTGTTTCAATTCATCCTCCAATTATTACGATGTGCTATATACTGTGGCCAATAATAACATTTTGCAAATGCGCCGCCTGAAACTACCGCTTCCTCCCGTTAGAGACAAATTTCATTATTATTCCGGAGGAAAACGTGTATACGTAAATAGTTACCCTCAGCATAATCTTGTCATCTTGTCACACACGAGAAAGATATTTGTTCCCCCAAACCGGGAGTATTTCTGACCAAATTATCAAAATTGAAATATTCTCTATTGGCTTTTTTATTGGTGTTATCCACCAAAAAATATATAGAATCTCATCGACGGTCACATTCGATTCGATTGTCTGATCCGAAGTCTTATTTTCTTTCTATCTCTCCAGGATATCTACGGAAATACTCTGCTAACAGACTATCAAGATTATGTGTTGGAGATCTTGAGCTACGTGGGTTGTTGTCTGTCCAGTGTGTGTCTTGGATTGACTCTTCTCACCTTTCTATCCTCCAAGTAAGTTCAGTAAAAAGATGATATTTTTTTTTAATAGTGCTGGTATTCAGGTGCACTACATTTAGTCCGACATTAACATTTAATTTATATTAAGCACCAAACATGGATAAACTATACTCCACGCTCGAGTAACCTGCATCACACCTTTAATGAATATACCAAATTGACTTATTCCATGGAACCAGGATTAGTTAAAGCCTCTGGACTCGGTTAGTCCAGGTTTGAAGCCTAAGGCATCAAAATATTGAACTGTGTCAGCAATGTGAGCTGTTGTTTTCCGTATCGTATATATATTTTGTTTTTCTTCAAATTCACCTTAGTACATTTCTTTTTCAAAAGAGTAATCATGAACTTGGATTTTTATAAGTTATAAAGGTATAACAGTAAAGTTTTAAAAACAGTAAACATGTGCTTGCAAAAATTATTGTTAAATTATCATTTTATAAAAGAGGTCGAGAAGAAAGCACCTGCATTCAACACACTACCCATCCCTTTTTGTTTTGTACGTCCCAAGTGGGGGGGGGGGGTGCGTTGCTAGAATGTGATAAGTATAACGATACATTTTGTGCAACTGTAGTAAAAATTGATAACTTTTTATGTATTGAGCTGAATAGCGCCGCTCGCTCTTGTTGAAATCATGTAAAAAGTGTTCTGGTCAATAGACACGGTTTCTAATTTAGACAAATTCTATCTGCTGCCATCTCACAAGCTTGTTCTCAGGAAAGTTATGCTTTTGGTCAAATATTTGCATTACAAATCTAAATTGTAAATACACCCATTACACTATTACTTTGTCACTCATTGTTTGCTTTGTAATTCATTGTATTATAATTATTTATCACCAAAATTTTCGAAGGTCTATCTATAGATTTCTTGCTTGAGGATTGAGTATGCATTCGCTAAATGAAGCCAACAAACATCAAAGCAAGTCAAGATTGGCTTCGTCCAGTCCAAGGGTGTCGATTTGTATCCGTGGTTGGGGGGGATGATAGGTGCCAAAATATTTTCGGCAATGGATCAAAGCAACCAAGAGATAGAAGCGTGTGGCAGGTTGCACCCCATCCCCAAGCGCGTAGCCAGGATTTCATTTTAGGGGGGGGGGTAGTGCTTTGACGTTTCATTTGATTATTACTCTTAATCCACGCCTGAAATCATATTCGCCCATCCCGCGCGAAGCGCGGAAGCTTCCACGTTTCATTAAATTATTAGAAAAAGAAGACGATTCGTTGTATCGTGTAATTTTACTTTTCATTTAATTATAACTCTTAATCCTAGTCTGAATTCAGTTGCCCCCCTCCCGCGCAAAGCGTGGAAGCTTTGCCGTTTTACTTAATTATTAGAGAAAGAAAACGATTCGTTGTACTGTTCTTTATATTAATCCTTCAGTTTCCCCACATGATATACGTATGGAACCTCCGTTCTCAAATCTTCGCATGCACAGCCCGAGTGGTGGATAGCATGTTATCTCCCGGCAATGCTTGTCGCAATAGCTTCTGGAAAGGAATTGTATACTACTGTTAGTGTTAACGGCCACTAATTAGGCCCATTAGTGACTATACAAAACATATGTTATGAAAATGAGATAGCAAAATGTGTATATTGATGGTCATCTTGCGAGTAATAACCATTAACTATTCTCATCGGGCTCTCATTAATTTTTCTCTTCATTTTTTTTAATTGTTATGGTGAATTATTGGGGGGGGGGGATGATTGTACAGGCCATCCCCCCACCTGAAATATTGGGGGGGGGGATATATCCCTCCCATCCCCCCCCCCCGGGATCGACACCCATGGTCCAGTCAATCATAGTTTTAAGAACAGTGAAGTGGTGATTCGGAATATCATGGAATCGGGATTCCGCATTCTATGTAGCATTTACTCTGTGTCACTACTTTCGTAAACAAATTAAACAAGATACATGTAATACGAAGTAAATCAAAACATTCAATGTTCTTTAAACCTTTTATTGATCCTTTTTATTTCAAATTAAACATCACGTAGTATCAACATGAATTAAGATGGATCATAATAATAAGATATAAACGACGTGAAAACTGTTATAATAATAATAATAATAATAATAATAGATTTATATAGCGCAGCTTTTATACAGCTTTTATACATGATTCCCGTGGTGCATCGTTTTACATTTTGACGGTAGGTGACAAATCTACTAAACGCCCTATCGGCACAATAGTAAAACCGGGATACAATGAAAGAAAATTATGATCAACAGATAATTATCAACTTTATCTACATGAGACTTACCATACCCATCAGAACAACGTTCTATCTTTATCTTTCTCATCTATTCACTCCATCAATGAACCCTAAAAATAAAGATACCGAACCGAGCAACTTTTGTATTTTGGTTGGTTTTTGCAGGAAACTTCGGAAGTCCCAAGCCAACCGCATCCTTGCCTCACTCTCCGCATCCCTCCTCTCCCTCTACATCACCTTCCTCCTCCTCCTCTCACTCAATCACGTTACCATGGTAACATGTGGCGTCATCGTGGGATTTCTCCACTATTCCCTGCTTTCCTCGGCCTGCTGGATGGCGGTTGAGAGCTTCAACATGTACCTCATGGTGATTCGAGTCTTCGACCGCGGGGGCATCCCACATTTTATGCTAAGGGCGGCTGTCTTTGCGTTAGGTAAGAAGATGAAATGAAATAGAGAAATGCCCCCATTTGTGGATCCAAACGCATGTGCCCTCTCTCTGAATATGAAATGGCCGGTGCCCAAAAATGAGAGGGGGTGGTTGCTCCAAAGCCCCCAATGTTGGAAATTTCAAAATTGTTGGGGTGAGGCTGCAGCATGCACCTATGTGTAAAATGACAGTGATATTGAATTGCCAAGAGCTAAAACAAATTTCTTCATGACAATTTATAACAATTTATAACATAATGTGAAGCAGTAAGTACAGCGTGGAATTTTACCGGCCCATCGTGTTTTTTTTTTTTGGAGGATTTATACGAAGTTGAACATATTGAATTGGAGCTTCTAACTGAGCTGTATCAACATATTAAGTTGTAAAAATTAAGAACAAGATCGGTCATATTGATAATAATGACTGCGTCCTAAAGCTGTTCCGTTTGGTGCTTATCAAACTTGAGCAACACATGCAGCTTAAGAGCAATTAAGCCCTCTTGAATAGCGTAAGGGGAAGAGGGGGGGGGGGGTGAGATTGACCTTTAATCCTCCCCTCTCAAGGTGCACTGAAACAGCCCTCCCCCCTTACTCCCCCTTCACACACTCATCTTCGGACCAAAAAAGGTTCCTGAAAATTTAGTCATCCATCTCCTTTAGGTGTCATAGATTTTTTTAATAAAATAGAATATGAGATCCTTTTTCCCTCTTCCGGACTTATACCCCCTCCCAACTTACAAGAGAAACCTGGATACGTCTCTGCCTCTACATTTTATAGTACGTGTTGTCTGTTTAATTGATTTGTTGATAGGCACACCAGCTATGATCGTCGGGATAACCAGTGGAATAGCCAGACAACGATACATGTCATATTCAGAAGACAGGCAGTAAGTTCACCCTTGAATCTGTTCAATGTTCATGAGTCATGTATTAAAGGGCTGGATTGGCGTGTATTTAGTTGAAAATGTATGAAATATTACTGGATAAACTTTGTTAACAATTAAAAAAAAAAACTTTTAGAATGCCATTTCTGTCCTACAATGCGGTAGTCTAGCATTAGTAAAACTGTTTGCTGTTGAAGTATATGTGGAAGTAGATTTTATCGACGTAATATCATTCTTTAAAATCTTAATTTTCTTTAAAGTCCAATAAAATTACTTCGTTACGCTAACTGACATAATAATAACAAGATTTATTTCATTTTACTATCTATCCATACAAGCTCCGATGCGTATGCGCGAAATGGGCCCTTTTTATCCATTGGTCACCCAGCTATACTCTTTACTTACTATTACAGATGCGGATTTTTGACACTTTGGCCACTGGTGGGAGGGGTTCTAGTTCCATTGGCCATTCTCATCCTCTACGATGCTCTCATCTTCGCACTCGTCATGCGACGACTGACACGCAAAGTGGCGGGAAAACAAATCACCAAACCCAAATACATTGAGCGGCTGCGTCGTCTGCACAACGCCATGGCTTTGATCGTGCTCATGGGGTTGACCTGGGGCGTTGGATACCTGACCTCCATCCAAGTCGCTAGCCTGGCTTTCCAGATTATTTTCATCATCTTAAACTCGCTCCAAGGTGTTTACCTATTTCTCTTCTACTGCTTGAGAAACCCGATCGCACGCACGCACTGGAGAAACTTGCTATGCCCCCGCCGGATGCCGTCTCGAGAAAAGGCTACAGTCGTCAGCACCTGCTCGTCGTCGAGTGGTAACCGATCTCGACCTCAATCTGGAAATCCTGGTCCGGACGACACGCCAGACGACGAAGGAAAGAAGACCTACGATCAAGACGTCAAGTGGTACCGCAAAATTGGGATTGACTTCTGTCATGTATCTTCAAAACAACGGAGGGCTGACGCAAGCGTTTATACGATTGAGCTGTCGCCGTCTTTGCCTACATCTGTGATGTCAAAGAAGATACCATACGATGGTGTCTTCGCTTTTGATAATGATGCAATTGACGATATGATGGAGCAAATGGAACACGTTTACTAGTTATGATAATTGTAACTATGGTCTGGGCCTGGCGCTTAAACAAAAGATATCAAATTAACGAGATTAAGCAATTCTAAACATAAAATTTAACTTAGCCTTTCAGCCAATCAGAATCGCAACGGGTAATGCGTTATTACCTTTAAGGTATTTTGCGCGAGTATCGACGGCTTTTCGACGCCATTTTGCTGACGTACATGTATAGGACTGTGTCATACGTCAGCTACGCGGTCTTTAAAGCGCAATGTAAGAGTGTTAATCGTGCAAACATTGATTGCAAAAATGAACTATGAAAATTTAGCTTAGAATTACTGATGCATTTGCCAATAGTCTTCTTATAGACTCGATTAGCTTAGGTATTTGGGCAATCAAAATGACGCCTTGTGCGCCAAAAGGAAATAAGCCGGAGCCATATTCAGTACACGTGACGAAGATAAAATCAAAATCTCAAAGGTGAAATCTATGCCATATTTATAGCGTAGAGGAAAAGGTGTATAACAGTCTATACTTACATACACTGTCTTATTCCGTCTGGATTTGATAGAAACAGTGCCAGTCATTCTAGCAGTTTGGGTTAAGTTCAAAGTTATGATGAATATTGAATGATGCGTTTCTTGAAAGTTCTATATACATCATGACATCAACACGAAAGAATGTCGTGCAATATTTATGCCTCTGATTTGAGGTAAGAATATATAGATATAAAGGTGTAATGGTGCAGATTTGAAGCTCGTGTATCACATTATGAATAACATTACAATTACATAACTAATTGCCGAGTTTCCTGTTTTTTACGGAAAAATGTTTGTGTTACTGCTTTTCACACAAAAGTCGATGTGTATTAAATAAATATTGTACATCTGGGATGAATCAAGGTTTTTGTATGCTGGAAAGGATTCTGTAAATTTAGAACAGAAAAAAAAGTTATTACTGATGTTAATCGTTTAGATATAATTATATCTTTGGTCAGATAGCAATTAAACTCATATGTTAGTGTAATTGGAATCATTTATGTGGATAGGGCATTGTTGGCTGAGTGATTGACAACACCAACAATTGATCAAATATTCATGTCACTATTACAGGTGCATGGCTGAACTATTAGATAGTCGTTATGAACTATGACCCATTTATTGCTCTCCGTCACAGAAGAGACAGTTATGTGGCTATAAATCAATCTGTTTCCACTTACAGAGCAATATTTTTCGGTTTCGCTGTCAAGTTCATTCCTCATTACCTTGTTAGTGATGACATCAGGGTTTTCCCCTAAATTTTCCAATTTTACATTTTCCTTTCTCCTGGTCTTTGACGTGTTTGTGATAAAGTTGAGTAGGCGTACTAGTAATGGTCATGTGATCATGTTGTAAATAAACTGTCCTTGAGTAATTGTGAATAGGTAACCAATAAGAATAAGTGTGTACTGCGATGTTCAGTTGCATGGAATCATTAAAAATGATGAGAATTTGAATATGTCTCGTTGAAAATTACTTTAAGTGAAAGGCGCTGTATAAAAATATTGATACTAGACCTAATCAATATTCAAGTGACAAGTACATGTATCATCGAAACCTTGGAATTTTCATTTTGTCAGATATAAATGAAGGTAATACTTGTACATAACGATGGATTCCGAATCATAGATATTGAAATATAAATACCTCATACGTCATCATATCGGTTCGTATGATATGGAAAATCAATTAAATATGAGGTTTAGCAGTTTAGAATATAAAAACATTACTGAAACTAAAAGGGTCAAAGGTGAATTGTGTTTTCATTCATTGCTGCGTAAACGTTGTCATTCATTGTTCGTTTGTCCTGACACTCTGCTTGTAAAACTTCCATCCGACACTAAAAAAATGTTACAATAAAAGTAAGCAATTATAATACTAAAAGTAAAGTTGTAACGCTACTACGCTTATAACATTCAGATCATATATCAAGTAGGCCTAAACCTTTTATAGTCCTATGATAAAGATTACATTTCTTTACTCTTAACTAAAAAAATATTTGTTACATATATTCTGTTCTTGTGTCGTATTAATTGCGTAAAATTTTCACCTCCAAATACACCCTCGCTAGAAATGTGAACCAGTATTGCTTCACAGCCAGCGTCTTAAATTGATATGAAAGAGCTAGAATTTTGAGCACTTCAGACGCGAAAAATTATACCCAGATCTGTCTGGGAACTCCTTGATTGCATGCTGTAAATAGAACTGCCGTAAACCTAATGGGTTTTTCCTGCTCGAAAATTAAGTGAGTATGAGGGAGAGAACTGAAGGATGTTCAAGGAGAATCATAAAATGTGACATCTTGCCAAGGACATTGCTAAATCCTGACGATCTGGGGGACAGGACCTTGGCAGTGGTCTTTCCCAAGGTTCTTTAGTGGCTCTTTAATATTGGGGATCTCGGGGGGTTGCAAAACAGAACGGTCGTACGACACATGCTCCTCCGATACTAAGTAGTTTCTTCGTGTCAGATTCTACGGCACTAAGCAAATCTCTAACTTGAAATTTATGTCCAACACTAAACCTAGCCCTAACCATAGCTCTAAACTAAAACGCAGTTGCAAGAACTCTGGCATGATCAAGCGCGGAACTATTGTTGCCAGAGCAAATATCGGATTGTGGGTTTAGAGATGACAGTGTGCAAAGGTAGAACGTTCGGGGAATAATGGCCTCACTAGAGAAACTATTTATGTCATATCAAAACATCCCACTCGCGCTGGGTTACTGTACATTATTTTACATGACATCGTTCATTATTTACACAAAATTAGTCCGAGGTAACATCTATAATAACGTTCCCCATGCAGGCCAGTCTTGAAATTGAATTATTAAGACCGAATAACCTACTTTTCTTTAATCTTCAAACTTTCTTGAGCTTTTCTCCCCCTCGCCCATCGATCTCCTGAGGGCGTAGTCATAATAGGCGCCGCTAGAGACAAGCAGAAAGAAAGATGAGATTATAAATAGGTGGTAATTATCTTTTCATCGTTTCATTAAAACTTCTGTTTCCTCTCCTGTCTACCCCCCCCCCCCCCTTATCGCCTCTATTTCCCTTTCCTTTTCCAATTTTTGCTTTTCTTTTCCACTCCCCATTTTGTCACACTTCTCCTCTTCTCCCCCTATTTATCACTTTCTTCCCTTTATCCCCCTATTCTCTCCCATTTCTCCCACTTTACCCCCTTCCCCCCTTTAATCACTTTCTCTCCCTCTCTTCTCTATTTCTTCCCTATTCCCTCCCCTTCAGACTTTCTCCACTCTATCCTATTCCCTCCCTTTCTCTCAATTCTTCATCAGCCTTTCTCTTTAATTTGAACCATTTCTCTCTTTTCCCCCTTCCACTTCTTCTCCCTCTCCCTCCCCCGTTTACTTGTACCCCTACCTTAATCTTGTTCACCTTCCCATCTTTCCCCTTTCCCCGTCCCCTTACCCTTCTTTGGGCGATCAAGGGGGCTCTGTATTTCTCTGAAGGGGTAGTATCTGCTATCCAAAAGCGGGGTGATAACCTCCATCTTCCCTTTACAATCCCTCATCATTAACCTAAAGATAGAATCCTCAGTCAAATGACATCACTTTTTGGCTTCCTTTATGATTTTATCTTCTTCTGATCTCTACTCCCACAAGGATATAGAATTAACATGGATTGGTAAAGAGCGTCTGCATCATTAATGTAGACTTTAAGTGGGTATTGATGTAGTATAATGCGTCTCACTTTGATAAACTTACACTAAGTTATGTCATTGTTTAATAAATGTGACTCTTACGTAGTGATCTATAGTGATGATGATAATGATGATGATGATGATGATGGTGATATTGATGATGTTGATGATGATGATGATGATGATGTTGATGACGATGATGATGATGATGATATTGATGATGTTGATGATGATGATGATGATGATGATATTGATGATGTTGATGATATTGATGATGATGATGATGATGATATTGATGATGTTGATGATGATGATATTGATGATGTTGATGATAATGATGATGATGATGATATTGATGATGTTGATGATAATGATGATGTTGATGATAATGATGATGATGATGATATTGATGATAATGATGATGATATTGATGATGATGATGTTGATGATGATGATGATGATGATGATGATGATGATGATATTGATGATGTTGATGATGATGATGATGATGATGATGATGATATTGATGATGTTGATGATGATGATATTGATGATGTTGATGATAATGATGATGTTGATGATAATGATGATGTTGATGATAATGATGATGATGATGATATTGATGATAATGATGATGATATTGATGATGATGATGTTGATGATGATGATGTTGATGATGATGATGATGATGATGATGATGATGATGATATTGATGATGGTGATGATGATGTTCCGGATTTATATCATGTATACATTTTTTAACCCATCCACGATGTCTGTAAGCGCTTCACAAGAAGTTTATGGGTTCACGGAATATTGTAAGTATACATTTGAAACTTGTGCTAAAATGATATCCATGGCATAATGTAGATGTGAATCAAAAGGCTTGCAAATGCAGTTCTAAGATTATTGTTCATAAATCAAGAAACAATCTATTTTCCCTTTCAAATTGATGTAATGGCAGAATATGGAAACAAATACGAAGAGATATTCAATCTTATCTCCAAGGTCAGATTTTGTTCATTACTGAGAGGAATCAACTTTCCTCTCTAATATTGGAGGGACACTTCCCCCTTTCCCAATTTCACAACCTTTAAGTTTATCCTTGCATGTTATTCATATTTAAATGAAGATTGTCATTATGACAAACACTAACTCATTTTCTACCGTGTCTGTCTTAAAATATATGACTACGGCTATACATTTCTTTGTTTTCGCTTTACGTTGACAATACTGCATGAATTATAATCTTTAAGAAATGGGAGACCAAAGACAACGATCTCGTGTATTTTTGGCTGATTTTGAACCCTCCTGCCGAAAGACAACCGGTTAAAATGTTGCGATCTGAGTATTGGATTCCCCGACGTTGCAGCACGCACCTGAGTCATAATGTAGCGGTTTAGTAATGTGATCTAACTTATGATGAATTCAGGTGACAGAAATAGAGAGAAAAAGGTGCATGTTGGTAAAAGATTTCATAAAGAAATGACGTACAACACACCCATCTTGGCCAAGAAGTTACAATTCAAGCTTGCCTAGTATCTCCGTAGTCTGCCAGCACAGACTCTAATTTGCATTTATCTATAATTCTTAAAGCCTTGAGCCGAGCCTAGCTCTG